TCAGTTGGTATTTCTGATCATCGGGGTGAATTAAGATTTGTCTATACATTTTTTCAATGTCAGTTGTGAAGACAAACTTTGGTAATCGGAACCGTAGCAGGATAGAGAACAGTTCGCTTTGCACAGTTGGTCCTGTGTACATTAAGTCATTTATCGAATGACCCGATGAAGTTTTCGCGGATGCATAAAATACCACACTTAATTTTGTTGTGGTACTATCTGGTTTAAGCACACAGTGATGCGAAATGAAATATTTGGGGTTCGACACTATATTCACGTCAATTTTCTGCATGTGTCCTAGCATTTCATATTCCTGCATGAACTTGATGTATTGCATGCGGATATCATCCTTCTGAAGAAGCCGACGTTCAAGACTCATGAACCGATTATACGCCATCGCATGAGATTTTCCCAATGTTGTTGGAGATTTTTGGAAAGGAAGACTAACAATGAATCGACCGTTCTGATCCGTCTGGACATGCTGATTATAATGAGATTCGCAGCGGGTTTCCAGCGGAGACTTTACCCTTTCTGTTGATGCTACTTCCTTGAGTTTCCATAACTTCTCAATTGCTTGTGCTAGTGAAGTTTCGCTATCGAAAATTGCACATGTTAGCGCTGCTGATTTGACGTTCGTTGATGATTGTTTTATTAAGCCGCCTACAATCCAGCCAAGCGCAGTATTCTGCAGAATTGGTTGATTATTGTACCCGGTTGCATTAGGCTGAAGTAAAACTCCGTCCCGAGTAGGATGTCAATTTTTCCTTGAATATTGAAATTTGGATCCTCCAATTTAATGTTTGTTGGAATCTACCAGTTAGATATGTGCAAATCGTGATTCGGTTGTGCAGGCATAATCGTTGGTAAAACAAATGCTTCCAAATAAGATGAAAATCCAGAATTGTTAGACAACATTTGCATGTTCACACGATGATAAGCCTTCTTCTGGATTTTTCCAACTCCGTCAATAGACAAAGAGGTCTCTGTTGTTGCAATTGAGGCTAAGTGGCTTATGAGTTTTCCAGCTTCGCCCGACAAATTTGTTTTTAAGTACCACATCTTTTGGACATTAGGAAGATGCTGCTTGTCCACCATCCCCAGAAAGAGTTCATAGAACTGACGCAACTTCAGACAATCCCTATTGAATTAAGGGATTGTTACCTTTGGTAGTGGAAGTGAGCTGTGTGCTACCAAGTCAGTTACCAATTGAGGTGTGCTTGTTATATTGCCACCGCATTTCTCTTTCAGTATTGCCAGCCTTATCAAGTTGCTTTGAACCGCATCTTCTAGGCTATCGTAGTTGTCTTGATTCAGCCCGATTCTTGAAGGATCCTCGACCTGTTGCCAAATTTCATCGTACAGGCCTGTAATTTGACTCCACAGCCCTTTAATCGACTCTTCTTATATCACATAGACTTGGTTTGACTGTCCCGACTCTATATTTTCCAAACTCTGCAGAAGGCGACCGAGGGCTGCCATTCTCGCCTTTACCCTTCGGGCCAGTCCCTCAACTTGAGCCGACGCAGGTTCCTTAACCTGGGCTGATGCTTGGGGTTCTGAATCATTTTCTGGCGATCTTGTCTTTGCGGGTTTATCTGGATTGACCTTGGCAGACTTCTCCAACTCCGCCTTTATATAGTCCACTGTTGCATTGAACTTTTCTTCTATGGCCTGGTGCAGATTCTCCGCTATATACGGATCATCCTCTGCCAATGATAGATCTTTGCGGATCTGGTTTTCTGCCGCTTCAAACGTCTGCCAAAGCTGCTCTAGCTCCTTACGCTTGCCAATGTAGAATTCCTCATTTCTTCTTTCAAGCGGTGCCTTCCTAATTGTCGCTATGAATTTTTCGAAATTACTGCCCCTTACTTCTTGTTGGACTATAAGGTCTTGAAGCGATGCCATTGTTGATATTTAAATTTTTTCCAAAGAAATTTGTGTACAAGATGCGTGTGTATCACGTCTGACAAAACCGGATATATGTTGCCAAGTCCTTTTCCACTTGTGGGGCAGAAGGCTGTGTTTAACGACACGTATCACGATCAACCTCTTTTACCACTTGTGGGGTAAAAGAATGTGTGTAAACGAACGCATATTACGATTCAAATCCTTTACCACTTGTGGGGTAAAAGGAGGAGTGTTAACGAACGCGTATTACGATTCAAATCCTTTACCACTTGTGGGGCAAAAGGATGTGTGTAAACGATCACGTCAGGGTCACCAAAAAATGTTAATATAAATCGGACCTAGTGGGATTCAGTTCAAACACATAAATTTGAACTGACACTTACAGTCCTTAAAATTCTCCTTACAAGCACATACACTTGAAGGAAAGACAATGATTATTAAATAAATCCAAATTGGTTATGGCCGCTTCATAAAAGACAACTGACTAACTCTTTATTATTTTCATTCTTTTATACAAATAATTTCTTAGCATAATTGATTACTTGCATAAAGTAAAACTAGGTCAAATATTATTAATACAAAGTGAATAAATGAAATTGTAAATATTGAACCTAAATAAATGTTAATAAATGGCTTACATGAAAATGCTGAATTAACAAACTAGAATAAAGTTGTAAATACGTCACAACTAAACTACAACTTAAATATAAATATGTATGTAGATACGTATGTGTTAACAGAAAGAGTTGGGGGCTTAATCCCCATATTATCCGATGGATATATGAGTCAGTCGTCCGACCAATCCTAACCTATGGGGGACTCGTTTGGTGGCATTCCTTAAGAAAAACCACCTTCAGCAAGAATATTAATAAAGTCCAAAGAGTTGCATCGCTACTAATTACAGGTGCGGTCAGGAGCACGCCACAATCCGCTCTAGATACCCTACTCAATTTAAAGCCGTTAGGCTTATTTGTAGAGGAACTAGCTGCTAGGTGTGCCCTGCGACTTAATGAACTAGAACAATGGCGGAGTAAATCCTTCGGACACTCTGTCATTCTTAAGTATGTGGAGAACGTAAGTAATCAGGCTATAGCTAGTGACTATATACTCCCTAGGCACAGCTTTGAATTACTCGACATCCGCATACCAAACAGGGATATCACGGTCACTCACATCCATGACGAAGTTGGACTTGAAGCTTGTGGTGGGTCTAATCACAGGTCATTGCAACATAAAGGCCATTAATTCAAAATGGGGCGGTGACGACACTGAATACAGCAGGCTTTGCAAAGATGAGGAAGAAACAGAAACGGTGGAACTCTTACTCTGTCACTGTCATACCCTTATCGGAGTAAGACATAGGCTTCTGGGTAAGCAAATTCTGCCCGACTTGTCATGCCTCTCCGAAACCGAGCCAGCAGTTATTCTTCAGTTAGCCAGAAGACTAAAATGGCTAAGGACGACACGCTGACTACACCGTGGATGCAAACCCACTAACTATTCTATTCCCTATCTATATTCTACTCTAATCCCCTAACTTATTTCACTTTCATTTTTCTAAATTAGGATGATCACAATGGGCCAATAGGTCTCCGAGTGGAGTGGTTATTTTACACAGCCACACATCCTTTAACCTAACCTATTGTAACATTCGAACATCAACTTCTCTACAGCCAGTGAAACAGGATAAAATCGCTGTTTAATGGGCGTGGCATCGACCATGTTAGTCGTATGCTGGATGAAATCAGTTCTGTATAGATTTCTTAAAACAATAAATGCATACACAAAATTGTCAGAAGTGAAACACTCTCAGAAAAAATTGTAATCAACTGATAGCTCTACCTTACCTTTTTATTGTACTATGGGTAGGACGGCATATTCAATATCGGTACTGCGTTACACTGATGTTGTTCATATTTCACATTCAAACAATAACAAAAAATTAAAATTTAATTTGCTCATAATAATACATTGGAAGATGCATTATTTTCCTTTGTTTAAGTATAGAAGGGCGTATTTAAACACACACGACTAACGCAATAGATCTAATAAACCAATTGGATTAATCTTCAATAGTATAAAAGCGCTATTATCTAATTTTTTGTATTATTCATTTATATTTTCAACACACAAAAAAAATCGTTTTAATTGTCAATGTTAAAACGTTAAACGTTTTGCTGTGGTATATTCTAAGATATGATAAGGTCCGCCAGGAAGCGAATTGGTAAAAAATACAGTCAATTTTTTGTTTTTTTTTTTCTAGGCGAAAAAATTGTCTCCAGTAGTAGGTGTTTTTACCGTGATCCCGGGAAACTATTTTTTTCTTGGGGGACGGACCCGGGACTCCAGATTTTTGACCCCAAAGTCGGACTCGACACTCCATCCTTTGGGACCGAAAAAATGTACCCCTCCTGGAACCTCCTTCTTTCTGCATATTTGGCAAATTCTCATTCTCAAATTCAAAAAATTTTCTTGTTTATTTATGACTTATATAGATTTGTCTTCAAATTCCTTTAATAATTTAAATTATTTAAATTTTTTGACAAGATCGCCACAATTTTGTTTTTGTATTCATAGGGCGAATTCATAATATATTTTGACAGAAAGCTTGGTCGTCAGATGGTGTTACTGGCCGATCTAATGCTAGGAACACAATTGGAGCGAACGATGAATTTCGCCCTACGCGGCGACAAAATGAGCCGACGAAATTATAAAACAGCTGACGAAGTTGTTTACTTTTTGCTCATTTGTTGACTACAATGAATCAGAGAATTGTAAAGTTTATTAAAATTGTTAAAATAATTAACATAATGTATATTATAGTAAAAGCTTATCAGCTTATGTGAAAACGTTTACGGAGAAGATGGTGGGTACGGCCAGTGAACATTAAAAGAAACACCGAAGGATTCCAGAGAACGAGTAACAGATAGTAGAGTGACCATAACAAATTTTAAAGTAAAAAGTAACTTTATTTACTAAAACACATAAAATTCGTACAAGTATGGTCACCTTGTACTGTTTTGTTCGCCGGCGTATGAAATAGAAACAAAGCTAATTGAGTTTGAGTGATTGTGTGCATTTCCATTTACACATATGTTTTTTTATTTTTGACGACGAACATACGCCGCGAAAAATTCGTCGTTCGTTCCAATTGTGTTCCTAGCATAATATAGGCCGTGATATGGCCATGACGTGCTTGGGTAATACGTATGGCAGAAGAATAAGAAATCTTCTACCATGGTAATACGGACATACAAAATATTTTACCATAGTGGGAAAGCTAAATATTTGTGTACGATACGTCAAATTCTAGATGACTCTGGTATAAAAGTAGTACAGAGTACACAGGAAGCGCAGCGCACCGCCGTCGAAAAAATCGATCCGCTTCGTTGTCTGATTTCAGTCCAAAACATATTTATAAATTGAAATAAATTTGGTTTCATATGCCAGGAAGTACAAAATTTTATGGTGTAAATGTCTATTTCTGCCTGTATTTTGGATGTTCCTGTTAGAGTGACAAAGCAGTTCATGCCCGTGGTACAATATTAATGGCGATATATCGCATTCACTGAACAAAATGGTGCTAAGCGTATTGAAGCCACATCAACAAATAAGATATATACAACTCATTATTGCCTTCATAATTTTTCTGCAATTTGTGGGTAAGAATGTTATATGTTATTATATTGTTGTAGACCGACATTTTTAGTTGTACCTTTGTCTTTTTTATACCCTCCACCTTGGAAAGTAGGGTATTCCGTTTGTAACATCGGCTTAACTCTAGTTTAGTAAAAACTTAATTTTGGCTTAACTCTAGTTTAGTAAAAACTCTTCAATTTTTTCGAAAATTTTTTCAGTGGTAGGTATTTTAACCATGATCCCGGGAAACTATTTTTTTCTTGGGGGCCGGGTCCGTCCCCCAGATTTTTGACCCGAAAGTCCGGGTTCGAGACCCCTACTAGACCCGGATCCACTTACCCGATATAGACAATATGGGTATCGTTGGAAAGCTTATGAAAATACCTATCCAACAAGTGGTCACATGATGGGGTAAGATCTTACGGTTCGGAAGTTATAGTCAAATTATCGATTTTTTGGACCCGGATTTTTTATAAAACCCCCAAAAAGTTAAAAAATGGTCCATTATGGGGGACAACAAAATTGATGCCAAATTATAGCTGACACTTCTACCTTTCCAAAAAGGTTCAATTTGTGCTAATACCTTTACTGAGTCCAGAGATATGGGTCTTTCCATCCGCATAACCCGATTCTAACCAGTTCATTAAAACTATGTTTTCAATAAAAAAGGTATATTTTGCGTAAGAATGAAATTCAGAAATCTTTGATTCGCGTTAGCCGGTGTAGGACATACCCAGAGGAGAAAATCTCAAGCCCCGGCCGAAGGCCGGCTACTTACAAAAGGTATCCAATTTAGAAAACTTTGGTTCGCGTTAGCCGGTGTGGGACATACCCAGAGGAGAAAATCTCAAGCCCCGGCCGAAGGCCGGCTATTTCCAAAAAGTGTCAAATTTAGAAAACATTGGTTCGCGTTAGCCGGTGTGGGACATACCCAGAGGAGAAAATCTCAAGCTCCGGCCGAAGGCCGGCTACTTACAAAAGGTATCCAATTTAGAAAACTTTGGTTCGCGTTAGCCGGTGTAGGACATACCCAGAGGAGAAAATCTCAAGCCCCGGCCGAAGGCCGGCTACTTACAAAAGGTATCCAATTTAGAAAACTTTGGTTCGCGTTAGCCGGTGTAGGACATACCCAGAGGAGAAAATCTCAAGCCCCGGCCGAAGGCCGGCTATTTACAAAGAGTGCCGAAATTATGAACCTTTTGTTCGCGTTAGCCGGGGTCGGACATACCCATAGGTGAAAACCTCAAGCCCAGCCGAAGGCCGGCTATTTACAAAAAGTGCCAAATTTAGAAAACTTTTGTTATTCCGACGACTGCTACGCGAAATAAACACTTTTTTTATTAAAAACATAATTTTAATGAACTGGTTAGAATCGGGTTATGCGGATGGAAAGACCCATATCTCTGGAACCGAAAAAGGTATTAGCACAAATTGTAGCATTTTGGAAAGGTAAGAGTGTCAGCTATAATTTGGAAACAATTTTGTTGACCCCCATAATGGGCCCTTTTTTGACTTTTTGGGGGTTTCATAAAAAATCCGGGTCCAAAAAATCGATAATTTGACTATAACTTCCGAACCATGACAACTTACCCCTTCATGTGACCACTTGTTGGATAGGTATTTCCATAAGCTTTCAATCGATACCCATATTGTCTATATCGGGTAAGTGGATCCGGGTCCAGGCGGGGTCTTGATCCCGGACTTTTGGGTCAAAAATCTGGGGTCCCGGGTCCGTCCCCCAAGAAAAAAATAGTTTCCCGGGATCAGGGTAAAAATACCTACCTCTGGAAAAAATTTCGAAAAAATTTAAGAGTTTTTACTAAAATAGAGTTGTTCCTTAATTTTTTTCGAAAAATTTTCCAGTGGTAAGTATTTTTACCCTGATCCCGGGAAACTATTTTTTTCTTGGGGGACGTACCCGGCCCCCCAGATTTTTGACCCCAAGACTAGACCCGGATCCAATTACTTTGTATAGACAATAAAGCATCGTTGGAAATACCTACCCAACAAGTCACATGATGGTCACGGTTCGGAAGTTATAGTCAAATTATCGATTTTTTGGACCCGGATTTTTTATAAAACCCCAAAAAGTCAAAAAAGGGCCCATTATGGGGTTCAGCCGGCTACTTACAAATTGTATCAAATTTAGAAAACTTTTGTTCGCGTTAGCTGGTGTGGGACATACCTAGAGGAGAAAATGTCAAGCCCCGGCCGAAGGCCAGCTATTTACAAAAGGTGTCGAATTTAAAAAACTTTGGTTCGTGTTAGCCTGTGTAGGATATACCCATAGGAGAAAATTTCAAGCCCCGGCCGTATGCCGGCTATTTACAAAAAGTGTCAAATTTAGAAAACTTTTGTAATTCCAACAACGGCTACGCGAAATAAACCTTTTTTTACTGAAAACATAATTTTAATAAACTGGATAGAATCGGGTTATGCGGATGGAAAAACCCATATCTCTGGAATCGAAAAAGGTATTAACACAAATTGTAGCATTTTGGAAAGGTGAGAGTATCAGCTATAAATTGCCATGAATTTTGTTGACCCCCATAATGGGACCTTTTTTGGGGTTTTATAAAAAATCTGGGTCCCCATAAAACGGTACCTCACGATATTCGGTATTTTGATGATTTTTGCCACGGATTTGTCTGAAAATTAGTATTTGTAGGTCATAATGGGTCCTAGATCGGGTCGCGAAATATTGTATGTATAGGTCCACGCTTTGGTATAGCCCCCATATAACGGTACCTCCCGATTTTTAGTATTTTGATGATTTTTCCCACATTTTTTCACGGATTTGTCTAAAAATTAGTATTTGTTGGTCATAATGGGTTCTAGTTTGTGTGGCGAAACATTTGTTGTTGGTCATAATGGATTCTAGTTCGTGTGCGAAACACTGTATGTATAGGTCCACGTTTTTGTATAGCCCCATATAGCGGTACCTCCCGATTTTCGATATTTTGATGATTTTAGTCAAATTTTCCCACGAATATGTCTAAAAATTTGTATTTGTGGGTCACAATGGGTTCTAATGTTTCCTTTAACCTAAGGTGGAGGGTATTAAAAGTTTGGCCCGGCCGAACTTAATGTTTTTTACTTGTTCTCATTACAATTCAAAATTGCATTCATTTTGTGAAGGGCATTTTCAATGCCTTGTAAGAAATTTTAATAGTGAATAAATAATGTCTACCTGTTGACTTGTGCTTTTTCCTGAATGTTTAGCAGATTTTTTGCCACAACCTATTCCAGTACATCCTGCCAAATTAAAAATTCGTATTCTTATGAGTTGTTACAGGTTGATCAAATTTGTATGCCTTTTCTACAACGTCAAGAGGTACCCACATGGTACAATGAAGAGAAAGTAGGCCAACTTTGAAAAAATTGCAAGTATAGAGGTCTACCTGTTTGGCTTATAATGTCAGAATTAGTATCAAAACAATAAAAAATCAAACAACTTGTTGCATTTATTTTGAATAAATAATTGAAAACCGCGATAACTGAATGAAAGGTCAACACTTCTTTTCAAAATCATGTACTATATATCTCTAAAGGATTATTTCGCTACAAAAACTCTAGATTTTGTCGATGCATACGTTGAAATAAACATTTTGAAAACACCCGAATTTGAATGTTTTCTGAACAATTTTTTTGTTATTGAAAAGAAAACACATACATAAACAAATAAAGATGACATATTAAGTCAAGAAAATAAAAAAATTTAAATCATATGGTATCATAGCCCTATCTTGATATCATTGTACCATGGGTACCCAATAGTTTGCGTAGTTTACCTAATATAATTCTTAAATATTATACAGGTACATTAGCACTCCCTTTAACAATGGTTCTATGTTTTGTTAAACGGTGGGCCAAAGAAATTTCTGATCCATATATTGCAAAACAGTTATTTACATCTCTTGTTAGACGTATATTAGAATACGGTTCTATTGCATTTATTTGCTAGCTGAATTGTTCAGTGAAGTTACTTCATGAAAAGACTTGTAATTTTTTCTAATGTATATTTAACAATCTTTTGATCCATTAAAACTATTTTCGGCTTACATTGAGTTTAGGAGCTATGCTCGAATTAACCTGAAATTTTAATCACATGTAGGTATGTTTAATCTGATTACGGCAAAGTAATTATTTCGTGGGGGAAATAACGGGTTATTCGACCCGAACGTTTTACAATAGTATCGATTTTTTTGCTACAATTAACAAAATGAAGAAAGAAGAAGTAGAGTGTATAAGTTGTCATTGTGTATGCGTATTATTAAAATAAATTAGCTTATAGAGGAAGTGTTGCCAATAACTCATAGATAGTAGACAAAAGCAGAGACATGGCTACACATTCCCATAGTCAATAGTAGGTCAGTAGTTCTTACAGAGCATATGGAGACACTGGAACTAGTGAGTCTATGAGGACTTATGTGGAGACATTGGAACTAGTAAGCCAGCGGTCAATACATTTTATAACTAGCTGCTTTGAAGTTGCTTTAAAAGAAACTTGTAAATTTGATTAATTTGTATATTTAACAAAGAAAATCTTAACTTATTTTATAAAAATTAAAAAGTGAATGTACATAAGTGTATGTATTATGCTTTTCGAAACTGTCACTATTGTTTCTTTTTCATATCTGCTTTAGGACCTACTTGTCTGCTTGGATTGTTTCTTTCGACCTTGAAAAGCTGTTCTCAAGGTTTCCACTGCTTTATTGAAAGTTGATGTTACATATTAATATAAAAAGAAGATATATTTAAAAATCAAAAAATATGTCCATACAGTGACCGAAATGTGTCCATAGTAAGGATGTTTCCGCCTGCGTAGGTTAAATAGAAAAAATTAAAAAGTTTGTATTTATTTATTAATTTAACAAAATGTGACAAAAGAAGAACATTCTGCTTAAAAAATATAAGTCTTTGTCCAACCCACCTTTACAAAATCAGTTTTGAATTGTGGCAATGCTGACCTTTTTCCACATGGCTTCAATAAAAATATGGATTGTAGGATGTTGTATTTGTT